AGTTATTACAATATTATTGACTATATTCACTATGTTGTACTTTACATCCCCATGACTATCCTGTAACTACCAATTTGTTCTTCTTAATCCCTTCACCCTTTTCACCAATCTTCCCAACCCCACTCCCATCTTGCAGCCATCAAAATGTTCTTTGTATCTATGAGTCTGTTTCTGTTCTGCTTCTTCGTTTATTTTGTTTTTTAGATTCAATTGTTGATAAATATGTATTTATTGCCATTTTATTGTTCATATTTTTTATCTTTTTTTTTCCTTCTCCCTCTTAAATAAGTCCTTTTAACATTTCATGTAATACTGGTTTGGCGGTGATGAACTTGATAGCTTTTTCTTGTCTGGGAAGTTCTTTATATATCCTTCAATTCTATGATAGTTTTGCTGAGTACAGTAATCTTGGTTGTAAGGTCCTTGCTTTTCATCACTTTGAATATTTCTTGCCAATCCCTTCTGGCCTGCAAAGTTTCTGTTGAAAAATCAGCTAACAGTCATATAGGAACTCCCTTATAGCTGACTAACGGCTTTTCTCTTGCTGGCTTTAAGACTCTCTCTTTGGCTTTAACTTTGGTTATTTTAGTTTTGATGTGTCTTGCTGTGGGCCTCTTTGGCTTTGTCTTGTTTGGGACTCTATGCTTCCTGGAGACTTGTATGTCTATTTGCTTCAGGTTATAGAAATTTTCTGTAATTTTTTTTTTACATAGGTTTTCAATTTCTTGCTCTCTTCTTCTGGGACCCCCAGGATGTGAATATCGGCTTGGGGACTGACAGGTCCTAGGTTCGATTCCAGTCAAGGGCACATGCCCAGGTTGTGGGCTCGATCCCTGTTTGGGGGTTTGCAAGAGGCAGCCAATCAATGATTCTCTCTCATCATTGATGTTTCTGACTCTCTCTCCCTCTCCCTTCTTCTCTGCAATCCCACCCAGCCCTGTTTGACTTCAAAGTCTGAAGTGTTTCCATTATCTACCACATTTGACTATGTATAGAAGAAGCATGTAAGGTTTGGGAAGAAAAGGAGGATTAGATGACCTTCCCGTAGAAGCTTTCATTTGTTTAGGAGCAGAGAGAAGAGGTGGAGTGGAAGTTAGAACGTTTGGGTTCTACTATCACAGATTTCTCCGAAGGAAACCAGTGAGCATGTTTTTGTTTGTTTTGTTTTTGAGCATCATTACAAATTAATGGGTCTTATATACGTATGCTTCATTCTATTGACAAATTGGACTCATGGGAATCAGATCAAACATGACTAAGATTTTCAAAGATACAGTGATCACAACACATAGGCAACGTGTGCAAAAGTTCATGGCAGCCAGAGCTACTCCCAGGTCCTGTCTTGCCTCAATTAGGATGCACTCTGGCCCAAATTTCAACATGTGAGACCTCTAAATGATGTGTGTGGAGTGTGACTTCAGCCAAAGAGCTATTTCAGTTTTGAAACATCTCCAGTTTATTCTCTAGTAACTGCATAGCTTGTGTGAAATTTTCTAGGAAATCATGCCTTATGAATACATACATCTCAGGTTCATCTCAGTGAGCAGTCTCGATAGACCACGTGTACCCTGCGAAAGCATTCCATAAGTAAGGACTCCTGGTGGTAAAAACCGCTAGTGTGCTTGTCAGAAGATCTCTTGTTAACAAGTTTCTAAGATGATTTGATTGTGACACCTTTCTGTTTCTCTGTTTCTTGGGCAGTAAAAGGAGAGAATGGGTTGCAGATCTGCTGCTAGCCCTCTCTACCCATCAGGGTTTTTGCTTCTTCCTTTTGTTTGTGTTTCCTTTCCCTGATGCTGAAATTCTTGGTACCTAATGACATTAATGTTATATTGCTTTATCCTAACATATATGTATCCATAATTATCTATAATAATAAAAGCATAATATGCTAATTAGACAGGACGGCCAAACGACCTTCTGGATGAAGCCGTGGCTGCGAGGGCTGAGCCCCTTGCACGAATTTTGTGCATCAGGCCTCTAATGTATATCCTATATAATAAAAAGCTAATATGCAAATCGACCGAACGGCAGAATGACCAGTCACTATGATGCGCACTAACCACCAAGGGGCAGACGCTCAGCGCAGTAGCTGCCCCCTGGTCAGTGTGCTCCCACAGGGGGAGCGCCGCTCAGCCAGAAGCCCTGAGCCGGGCTCACGGCTGACAAGCACAGCGGTGGTGGTGGGAACCTCTCCCACCTCCACAGCAGCACTAAGGATGTCCCACTGCCGGCTTTGGCCCACTTCCTGTGAGCCTAAGCCGGCAGTCCGACATTCCCCGAAGGCTCCCAGACTGTGCACCGGGCCTCTAGTAATACTAGATAGTTGTAACAGGGTATTATTAAATTACTTGAATAATTTTGTGTAGTTATGCCAACTTTATAAAAATTTAGATTCACTTGTTTTGGCTTTTAAATAATTATTTTATTGTTTTCTGTTATTTAGACTTGTTATTAATGTATTATTAATACATGAAACGCGTATGTTACATAAATTGCATATGCATGGCTTTGTGTGGTTGCAGTCAGACTACATTGGAAGTGGGTTATATGGCAATTGCTTCTAGACTTGCTTCCTTTGTCAGCCTTCCAACCATGTCGCTGTCATATTGCTTCTCCTAAAGAAGTTCAGCTTCCTATCTGGTGCCTCTGCTTTTGACCTCCCCATCCCCACCCCCATTGTCTAATCTTTCTTCCTGTTGAGAAGCCTCCAGTGGCTTCCTGCCACATGCAGAATAAATCCAGCTCCTTACCTGTACTAATGAGGCCTTCCATGATCAAGCCCCTCCTATCTCTCCAACTGCATCTTCTGCCACTCCTCTTTACTCACAGGATTCCAGCCATACTGCCTTCTTGCTGTGTCCTGAACATTTTAAGCTTATTCCCAATTATGTGGGGGATCTCCAAGATTGCAACCCCAGGCTTGATGATTCTCTAGTACAGGGGTCCTCAAACTACAGCCCGTGGGCCACATGCAAATACAAATATTGTATTTGTTCCCGTTTTGTTTTTTTACTTCAAAATAAGATATGTGCAGTGTGCATAGGAATTTGTTCATAGTTTTTTTTTAAACTATAGTCTGGCCCTCCAACGGTCTGAGGGACAGTGAACTGGCCCCCTGTTTAAAAAGTTTGAGGACCCCTACTCTAGAAAGACTCATAGGACTCAGTATATAGTGATATTTATAGCTATGATTTATTACAGCAAAAGAATACAAAGCAAAATCAGCAAAGGGAAAGGTGCATGGGGTGAAGTCTAGGGAAACCAGACACAGGCTTACAAGGGGCCTTTCCTAGGGGAGTCACACAGTACATGCTTAATTTCCCCAGCAACAAGTGACAACCTATGTGAAATGTTTGCCAGGGAAGCTTGTTAGAGACCAAGTACCTGGAGTTCTTATTAGGGGCT